GGGAGCGCAGCAACGCTCCCGCTGCGGGTTCGGATCCTATATAGGACTGGCCGGTGTGCTCACTGGCTGAGCGCGGTGCAGGCGACACCACACCAAGGGTTGCGATCCCCTTACTCGTCACGAAAAAGACAAAAAAAAAAATATATATATATATATATATATATATCTTTAAAAGATAGTTCAGTATTAAAACAAAAATAATAATAGAACAAAGGCTGAGTGGAGAGAAATGGAAGTACATTGTTGCAATGTTCTTATGCTACATTTGGAGTAGCCAAAATCCAAAACACTGACAACAGGAAGTGCTGCAAAGATGTGAGCAACAGGATCTCTCATTCATTGCTGGTGGGAATGCAAAATGGTACAGCCACTTAGAAGACAGTTGGGCAGTTTTCTGTAAAATTAAACATATTCTTACCACACAATCCAGCAATCATGCTCCTTTGTATTTACCCAAAGCAGGTGAAAATTTATGCCCACGTAAAAACCTGCATATGGATGTATATAAGAGCTTTATTCCTAATTGCCAAAACTTGGAAGCCACCAAGATGTTCTTCAATAGGTAGCTTAGTCTGTTCAGGTTGATATGAAAAAATACCATTAAAAAAAATAAATCATAAACTGCATAGCTTTTAAATAACAGAATTTTTTTCCTCATGGTTTTGGAGGCTGAAATGTCCAAGATTAAGGTACCAGAAGATTTGATGTCTGGGGAAGGGCTATTTTATGGTCCACAAATAGCACCTACAATCTGTGTCCTCACATGGTGGAAGTGAAAAGCAAGCACTCTGGGGATTCTTGTAAGGACACTAATTCCATTCATGAGGGCAGAGTCATCTCCCAAAGGTCCCACCTCCTAATACCATCACCCCAGGAGTGAGGATTTTAATGTATGAATATTGGGGGACACAAACATTTAGTCCATAGCAATCTGTGAATGGATAAACTGTGGTACATCCATACAGTGGAATATTATTCAGTGCTAAAAAGAAATGAGCTATCAAGCCATGAAAGACATGGAAGAACCTTAAATGTATATCACCAAGTAAAAGAAGACAATCTGAAAAGGCTACATACTGTCTAATTTCAACAATATGACTTTCTGAAAAAAGGAAAACTATGGAGACAGTAAAAAGATCAGTGATTACCAGAGGTTGGGTACTCGGGTGGGAAAGGGATGAACAGGTACAGCAAAGAGGACTTTTAGGACAATGAAGCTACTCGGTATGATACTATAATGGTGGATATACATGTCATTATACATTTGTTGAAACCCATAGATTGTACAACACCAAGAGTAAATCCTAATATAAACTAGGGGCTTTGTGTGATAATGAGGTGTCGATGTAGGTTTATTGATTGTAACAAATGTACCACTCTGGTGGGGGACACTGACAGTGGGGGAAGCTGTAGGTGTGTGTGGAGAGGGGATGTATAGGAGCTCTATATTTTCATACAATTTTGCTCTAAACCTATAACTGCTCTAAAAAATAAAGTCTATTTAAAAAATGCTAAAACCAAAGGAAGGCAGAAAAAGAGGAAAAGGGAAACAAAGAAAGATGAGACAAATAGAAACCAAACAGCAAAATGACAGGCTTAAAAGTAACCATATCGGTAATCACATTAAAAGTAGTCAGTTTTGGATTTGGCTGAGACTCTCTGCAGAGGGTGGGTCTGTGGGGCGCCTGGAGTGAGAGCTCTGGGTCCTAGCCTCAAGATCAGGAACCTGGGCCATGAGAGGCGAAATGATGAGTTATCCAAGTCACACAGCTAGTTAAGTAGCAGAGCTAGGATCAGAACTCAGGTTTCCTGCCTCCCAAGATTGTTAAAATTTGGAAGCAAATCCCTAGTTACTTCTTACAGCAAATCATCAGGTTTTATATTTTTTGTTTTTTTCGTGATATAATGTCTTATAATAGTTGATGATAATTGAGTAAGATAAATGTATAAAATCGTGGATTTAATTGTAAAGGGTTCGTTCACATTTAAGTTCCATTTTCTTTTATCTCTGCCAGTATACAGAATACTGAAAGAATAAAAAAACCCACATAATTATAAAATACGGTTATAAACAACTAAGGCAGAGATTTTTAGCTCGAGTTAAAAAAAAAATAAGATCCAACTATATGCTATCTACAAGAAACCCACCTTAAATATAACAGATAAAAGGAAACTAAACGCAATGTGGTTTGCTGGATTGGATTCTAGAGCTAAAAAGAACATAAATGGAAGAAGTAGTGAAATCCAAATAAAGACTGGGATTTAGTTACTACCAGTGCACCAATGCCGGTTTGTTAGTTTTGAGGAGCCCTGTTAATGTGAGACGATAGCAGTGGGGGAAACTGGGCTTAGAGTATACCGGACTCCGTATAATCTCTGCAACTTCTGTAAATCTACAATTATTCCAAAACATAAAGTTTAATACAAAGAAAAAGGATGGAAAAAGATCTAACACTAAGAAAATGATACGTAGTTCTCAAAATGATACGTAGTTATTAAAAGAGAAGTTCAGAATAGTAGAAAATGGGAAGGAAAACTGCCTCTAACATACTGTTCTACAATCCAACATAACTACAGAGACCAGGCCCTGAAATGGACCGGATGATTTTCTCAGAGTCCTGGATGAAAACAGAAGCCTTACTCAAAAGGTGACTTGCGAGGAGTCTAAAGAAAAGGTCTATTTATATTCCCAAGCCTGACATGAATGACCTTTCAGGATCGGCTACGTGTCAACCTCTACAGGCCTCTCTCTTCACTCCAAGAACCCACACACTTCTACTCTGCCGCCACAAACTGCTACACCCACCCCGCAAGCCACACTGATTCCAGCCTCCTCACGTTCGAACTCCCACGCCCTTTACCAGATGCGCCGTTCCAGTTTTATTTACTAAGGAAGCGCCCCCTTCTGGGTAAAAGCTACTCCTCCTCCTCTTTCTTTGAGTTCATTATTCTCTCCCCTAGGCTTCCACATCACTGTGCTGTGGGTAGTTTCTCAACTTTCATCACACTAGTTTATACCTTAGGAATAATAATGGCTACCACTGCCTGACTCAAAACAAAGTTCCGTGGAAGGACAGAGCGCGGATGAACTGTGCTACGTTTGTCCCCTGGAGGCTACCGTCTCCACCCTGTCTTCCGGCTTGTCTTAAAACGCCTATCACGTAATTGCGTAGTGGGAGGGTGGGCTCAAGCCAAGCTGGTGGCGTCTATTGGCTGTGCAGGGGGAGGAAGGCGGGGTGAGGCTTCCGCGTGACGTCAGGACGCCGCGGTCAGGACGTCGAAGCCGAAGGTAGCCAAGAGCCAGCCGGGTGGCTGAGCGGTGTCTTTGCCGTGCTGCTGCCGCCTTGGGTCGTTACTGTCGAGTCCGGATAAAGAAGGGCCCTGGTTAGTACGGGGAGCGGCGAATGGGAGGGCTGAAGGGGGCGGCATCTCCGTTCCGTCTTACACTCTGCGAGCCCCGAGGCCTTCTCGCCTGTGGTACCAACGGACGCCGCGCGCGATCGTCGACGGGGTGTGGCGCAGGGACAGGGGCAGCCACTGCGTCTGCGCACCGGATGTGGGCGCGCGGCCGGGCACAAGCGCGCCTGCGCCATCGACTTTAGCTTTCCGTCTCCCTCCTTCGTAATTGTCTGATCCGGGAGCGGCCCCGCGACACCACCTCTGACCCCCATTGATTTGTGGTTCTATTGGGCGGGCGGTGTTGCCCCGGGAGACAGGCGGCTCAAACATTGTCTCCTTTCCTGGGGGTGTGGTGCGCGGGCGCGGCACGGGCCAGGGCTGTGGCTCGGGGCCCTGTGGCGGCGATCCGGGCGGCCTCTTCCTCCACCCGCCGTCCTCCT